TTTTTTAGAGTAAATCACCACAAGAATTATTTAATAGAAATCAGAAAAATAAACTGTTGATATTATAGTAATTACTAGGTAATATAAAAGGTAAGTTTGACTAATATTTCACAGATGCATTTGGTATATGTCATTATTACCAGTGTTATACTTAGAAATGATATGCATCTGCTATAATTATAATTCATGGAGCATAATTGTATTAAATGAAAATAGAAAGAAAGACATGTAAAAAGCAGGCAGTCTGAGGTCTGTAAATGAAAATGAGAAATATCTGGTGATTGTTTCAATGCAAGGGAGTTATAAACAGGAGTACAAGATGCTAAAGGAGCCTGAAGCAAGATAGCAGGGTTGAGGGTTCATAGACCAGGTCAATAAGTAGTTAATCTAATAGTTTGAAGATAGTCATTTGTGAAGTAAACCCTGGATAGTTCATTTGAATGAATTGGTCTGAATTTACAAAAGCAAGATTGGTTTTCTTAGGGTGGGTAGATATGTATCTATTTTAATATTAAATATTAACTTTAATAAGAAAAACCTGTGAGAGATGGAACTCAGTGGATTGCCTTGTTTGCCCAGGTCTTGTGAGTTTTCCTCATTTGACAGGGTCCAGTCTTTCCACTTTTCCATCACTCATTTTAGTGAAAAATATTTGAGTTTTTATTCTCTGACAGGTTTCTGACTTACACAGGTTCTGGCTTTTGCAACTTTTACTGTATATTTTACTAAGAATCTTAATGGTGCTCTTGTTTTAGGTAAGTGTTTTTTGTTTTTTTTTTAATTTTTTTGGGTACCATTTTTTTTTAGAGCTTATTGAATAATAGGATTTCTGCCAAAACCTTGACATAGTTTGAACATCTTATGTAATTTCTATAACAACTATATGATGTAGTATGTATCACCTTATTTTCAGATGAAGAAATTGAAGTATTGGGGGGGGGGAGATTAAGAGACTTATTGAAGGTCAGATAGCTAGTAAATGGCTAAACTTAAAATTGAACAACAACTCCAAGTCCAAAGCCTATATTTTAACTATTGTGCTAGATTACTTCCTTGTCATTTCCTTTTCACTATCAAATTAAGCTCAGAGTGGTGATTTTATGTCTCCATTTTTCATCTGTTAATGCTCAGTATAGTGGTAAAAAAGCCAGAACTTTCAAAGACTTTAAATTTATTAGAAAGTGGGAGGTCATAGGATGTTTGGAAAGACCATAAGTTTAAGTCAGGTAGAGCTCTGTCTAAAAGATGTTCTGTCAAGAATCTGGGGAAATGGGAGATGAATGATGCTATCACTACTCTTGACAGAATTTTGTTTGCTTGGTTGTTTATTTTAGTGGTATCTGTGACACTGGGAGCTGGGAGTTTATGTCCCAAGGATAGTCAGGATTCTTTGTTCAATATTTAGTCAGGTAAAGGTTAACTAAAAGCATGTTTTCAAATAGAAATTTTCACAACCTTCATGCTGAAGAGCTGCAAGATATTTTGGGCTATGTCCTTTCTCCTCCATTGGTCTTTCCCCTTGCTTGAAGAAGTGCTTCATTTTAGGAGCAGAAAGAGCATGGTTTTGGGCAGATATCTTGGAAATGGGATATATGTGTATTCATTTTTTAATTCATTAAAAATATTCACTGAATATCATGTGTTAGAAGAAAGAACAAACATGTGTTGGAAGAATTACAGCTGGAATGCTCCTTAGGAGTGAGAATGGCCAGATTTCATTTTACGTACTTTAGTCACGTTGTTAGATGGGACTTGTCCCTGGAGGAAGGATACCATGCTAGGTAAAGTAGAGGGTTAGCAAAAAAGGGAAAGACTCTCAACAAGAAGGATTGACACAGTGGCTGTGATGATGAACTCAAGCATGGCAATGATTGTGAGAGTAGCACAAGACCAGGCAGGGTTTTGTTTTCTTGTATTATGAGTCACTATGAGTCAGACCAACTTGATGACACCTGACAACAGCCACATCATGTGTCAGGCATTTTTTAGGAGTTAGAGTGCAAAGCAGTTCAGGAGTCTTTGTTTCTCTCTGTCATTTATCACTGTGTGAAGACAGACAAATTTATTTAAGTGCTCCAAGCTTCCACATCCCTCTTACTAGGCTTTTTGGAGGGTTAAATAAGATAATGCAGTGGCATACTTAGGAGCATAGTGTCTGACACATATTATGTGCACAAATGAAAATGAACTGTTCTCACAGAAATTACCAAAACACATTTTTGAAGTCTTTAGTACTATTTAAAAATCTCTAGCTGAATGTTATAATTCCAGGGAATATTCTTACAGATAAATGCCATTCTTTTATACACATAATAAATACATCTGCTTAATTAGCTCTTTCTCATTTTTTATACATGAGGCCCTAGAGGGAGCAAATAGTAAACAACCTTTGCCAGTAACTGAAAAGTTGTGGTTCAAGTTCACATAGAGACACCTCAGAATAGAGCCCTAATGATCTATGTATGAAAAAACGTCCATTGAAAACCCTGTGGAGCACAGTTCTACTCTGATACCCATGAAGTTGCCATGAATCAGAATCAACTCAATGACAACTGCTTCATCTTTCTTACTTAAATTCACAAGATCAAATCCTCTGTTCTGTACTCCTACAAATTGTGTGCTTTTCTTTTATCACTGTCATTAAAATTTATAAATTGCATATAGGTGATTAATTGACTACTGTATGTCTTTTCCAGTAGATTATAACCTCCTTGAGATGAGGGACCTTGCTTAATTTTCCTCACCATTGTATTTCCAAGAATTCAAATAGAGCTTGTCACCTTGTAGGAGCTTATTAAATGGGTATTCTGAAAATGTGTCCGTCTTTCATCTTTTGTAAATGATTTTCTAAGAGAGCTGACTGTTCTAGTTTAGTACCTAGGTAAAAATAAGTAATTTAAAATTATCAATTGTTTTTTACTTGGGAGGTGAGTGCTAGGATCCTGGCATATCTAGGAGTATAGCACAAAAATGGGCAATGTGCAGGAAAACATTTAACTTACCAGAGACACTATCTTTTTATTTAGGTCCATAAATTCTTGTGAATATGGTTTTCCAAACTTGCTGTTGTAGTCAATGTTATTGACTTTAAAGCTGATGTGATAATAGAAAGATGTGTTGCCTGAGGAGAGAAAATGAAAAATAGTTCTTAATTTATTAACTGAATCCATTTTCATTTCCATGAAAATCACATGGAATGGAATACTCTGGTGATATTTCAGTTAACTTGGCATTTAAATAGTCTTGATGCTCAGTGATTGTTGAAAGAACTCTGATTAAATAATGCTAATTAAATTATAACCTTATCCAAGAATGTATTTAGAATTTTATATAAACGTTTAATGTGCCAGTTTCATGTTTGCATTCTCATAATAATTAGTCTCTCTTCATATATAACCTAGACTTTGAGCAAAGAGAAACCATTATGATGTAAGAGCTCTTCTAAGTATTATTTTCAAATGATACAGGTTACATTCTGAGCTAGAGTTATGAGCTGTAGGGAACTATAGCCTAATTCTGCCATTTGTATTTTTTTTTCTTTTAGTAATTTGAAGCTAATAAAAAATGTTATTCAAGGAAATGGATTTATGTCTATTTTTTTTAAAAGATAACAATTGTCCTATGAGAAATACAATGTTCACTTTTAATTTATGTGAATTCTTCCTTCTTGTGATCAGAGCTATATGTATATGTGTGGGCTTATAATTTAGTGTACTTGTTCCTGCATGATTCCACACCTAAATCTTAATCATACACTAGTGAATTATTTGCTCAAAACTGGAACTATTGTTGGCCAATATTTTCCATTCTTAACTGTAGTTATGTGAGAAAATGGGTTGCTTTGAATACTCTCAGTTTAGTTCTTGGCTTCTGTTTTACACTTGTATGTTCTCCAGGCTAGAAACTCTCAAATTTATCTCTGAGAAGCCAAAGACATGCTTTTTACAGAATATATTGGAGTCAACATTAAGCTTGATACTGAGAAGACAGTCCAGGAAGAGTATCTCACATATTTATCTTCAGACCCTTGCGTAGGAAGCAAGAAAAAAAAGAAAAAAAAAAAAAAAGATTTTGAGAAAGTATCAATTTTTGCTAGATTCTGATGCTTTTTCTTCTATTTCCTATTTCTTGAAAGTGAAGGTGCTATTCTGGAGGCTAATAGTTTCCATTTATTAGCACAGGGATATTTGGAAATATTGTCCTTAAATAGAAGTAGTGAGAAAATCAAAAAGAAAAATGAACTCTCTTTATGTACATCCAGAAAATTTACTTGCAATCTCATGCCCCAATTTCCCCAACAATTACTCACAGCCTAACCTATTGAAATCTAATTTTAACCTCCTGCAGCAGAAACAGTTATTGCTAAAAATTCTTTCTTCTTTTTCCCTATAGTGATACAACCTGTGATTTTTAACTGAGTAGATGCTATGCAGAGTAAAATCTACATTCTCCAGACTCTGTTTTATCTAGGAGTCAGCTAGTACATCTGTCTAGGCTTTAACTAATGGAATGAAAGGGAAAGTGGATGTGTAACTTCTGAGATGTTTCCTTATTAGAGAGTACATATTCTTCTTCCTATCTCTCCTTCCTGATGGCTGGAATGTGGACATCTTTGTCAGAGCTCATACAGCCCCTTTGGACATTGGGGGGTTGGGGTGACTTTGAGTCTCTGATACATTGACGTGATATACTGAATCTCAGTATGATATACTGTTCATATCTGAATCTTATAGTGCATCTAATGTAGATCAGTGGCTCTCAACTTTCGCTGCATAGTGCAATCACCTAGGAAGGTTTTATAATTTGTTTCCACTTCACACCAATTAAAGTAACACATTTAGGAGTGCAGCACTTGATTGCTAACCAGAAAGCTGGCAGTTCAAACCCACCAGCCACTCCTCGGAAGGAAGATGGGGCAATCTACTTCCGTAGTGATACTGCCTCGGAAACCCAAGGAGGGGTTGCTATGAGTCCGGTCCGACTCGATGGCACATAACAACAACAACAACACAGGAGTGGGGTTTGGGCACCGGTATTCTTTAAAGAGCTTTCTAGGTAATTCTAAGATTCAATTAGTGTTAAGATTCACTATTCTAGATCAGAGGTCAGCAAACTATGGCCTGTGAACCAAATCCAGCCTTCCATATGTTTTTGGATGGGCTACAAGCTAAGAATTTTGCCTTTTTTTTTTTTTGCATTTTTAAGAGATTGAAAAAAATCCAAAGAAGAAGAATATTTCGTAACTTCAGAAAATTATAAAATATTCTAATTTCAAAGTTCATAACTAAAGTTTTATTGGAAAACAGCTGTACTTATTTATTTACATATTGCCTACAACTTCTTTGGCACAAAAACAGCTGAAATGAATAGTTGTTATAGAGACTATTTGGCTCAGAAAGTGGAAAATATTTATTGTCTGACACTTTATAGAGAAAGTGTGCTGATCCTGTTTTATAAGGAGACCATTTTTAGTGTGAGGGCTAGTGTGTCTCTCTAGAAACTTTCCTCCATTACTGCCATACTCTATTATAGCACCTAGCCTAGTACCTGCTTTAAAAAAAAAAAATTACCACTGAGTAGATTCCAACTCATAGCATCCCTATAAGACAGAGTAGAACTGCCTCAGAGAGGTTCCAAGGCTGTTAATCTTTATGGGAGCAGACATCTCATCTTTCTACCATGCAGCAACTGGGAGGTTCAAACTGCCAACCTTTTGGTTAGCACCCAAATGCTACTACTTTGACAACTTCAATCTTTTCTCCATTTATTGTGATGCTGCTTATTGGTCCAGCTGTGAGGATTTTTGTTTTCTTTATGTTGAGGTGTAATCTGTGCTGTAGACTGTAGTCTTTACTCTTCATCAGTAAGCTTTAATCTTCATCAGTAGGTTAGCTACCATCTGCTACTAAGTATGTAAAAATTATCCAATGGCTTCTGTTGAGTTGAATCTGCATCGAGTTTCAGATTCTCTTATATATGCTCGTATATATACTTGTTTGAAGTTATATATATATATATACTTGTTTGAAGTTATATATATATATATATATATATATATATACACACAACTGTTTGCATATGCTGTTGTTGTTGTTAGGTGCCACCAAGTCAGCTCTAACTCATAGCAACCTTATACACAACAGAATGAAACACTGCCCAATCCTGAACCAGCCTCACAGTCCCTGCTATACCTGAGCCCATTGTTGTAGACACAGTCCATCTCATTGAGGGCCTTCCCCTTTCTCAGTGACTCTTCACCAAGCATGATATCCTTCTCTAGTGAATTGTCCCTTCTGACAACATGACCAAAGTAGGTGAGACAAAGTCTGGCCACTCTCACTTCCAAGGAGCACTATGGCTGTACTTCTTCCAGGAAGGACTTGTTAGTTCTTTTAGCAGGCCATGATACTTTCAGTATTCTTCGCCAACACCACAATTCAAAAGGATCAACTCTTCTTCGGTCTTCCTTATTTGTTGTCCAGCTCTCACATGCATATGAGGCAATTGAAAATACCGTGACTTGGGTTAGGTGCACCTTTGTCTTCAAAGGGGAGCTCGGGTGGCGTAGTGTCTAAGGCATTAGACTGCTAACCAGAAGGCTGGTGGTTCAAACCCACTAGCCACTTCTTGGAAGGAAGGTTGGGCGATCTACTCCCATAGTGATACTGCCTTTGAAACCCAAGGATGGGTCACTATGAGTTAGATCCGACTCAATGGCAGTGTTTTTCTTTCTTTTTTTTTGGTTTAGTCTTCAAAGAGACATCTTTGCTGTTCAACACTTTAAAAAGGTCTTTGCAGTAGTTTTGCCCAACACAATATGTTGTCTGATGTCTTGACTGTTGCTTCCGTTGGTGTTTATTATGGTACCAAGTAATATGAAATCTTTGACAACTTCAATTTTTTCTCCATTTATTGTGATGCTACTTATTGGTCCAGCTGTGAGGATTTTCATTTTTTTTATGTTGAAGTGTAATCTGTGCTGCAGACTGTAGTCTTTAATCTTCATCAGTAAGTGCTTCAAGTCATCTTCGCTTTCAGCAAGGAAAGTTGTGTCATCTGCGTATCACAGTTTGTAAACGAGCCTTCCTCCAATCTTGATGCCATGCTCTTCTTCATATAGTCCAGATTCTCAGATTATTTGCTCAGCATACAGATTGAATAAGTATGGTGAAAGGATACAACCCTTACGCACTCTTTTCCTGATTTTAAACTACACAGTATCCCCTTGTTTTGTTTGAATGACAACCTCCTGGTCTATGTACAGATTCCTCATGAACACAATTAAGTGTTTTGGAATTTCTGTTCTCAATGTTATCTATAATTTTTTTATGATCCACACAATTGAATGCTCTTGCATAGTCAATAAAACGTAAGTAAACTTCTTTCTGATGTTCTGTGCTTTCAGCCAAGATCCATTTGACATTAGCAATGATATTCCTCATTCCACATCCTCTTCTGAATTGAGCTTGCATTTTGGGAGGTTCTCTGGCAATATACTGCTGTGACCATTTTTGAATTATCTTCAGCAAGATTTTACTTGTGTTTGATATTAATGATATTGTTTGATAATTTCCACATTCTGTGAGATCACCTTTCTTTGGGCTGGGTACAAATGTGGATCCTTTCCAGTCAGTTGGTCAGGTAGCTGTTTTCCCAATTTCTTGGGATAGACAAGTGAGTCCAGGCAGCGCAGCATCCGTTTGTTGAAACATCTCAATGGATGTTCCTTCAATTCCTGGGGCCTTGTTTTTGCCAATTTCTTCAGTACAGCTCAACTTTTTCCTTCAATACTATTGGTTCTTGATCATATGCCTCCTCCTGAAATGGATGAACATTGACCAATTCTTTTTAGTACAGTGACTCTGTGTATTCCTTCCACCTTCTTTTGATGTTTCCTGCATCATTCAGTATTTTGTCCACAGAATCTTTCAATATTGCAACTTGAGGCTTGAATTTTTTCTTCAGTTATTTCAGATTGAGAAATTCTGAGCCTGTTCTTCCCTCTTGGTTTTCTAACTTCAGGTCGTTGCACATTACATTATAATAATTGACTTTGCCTTCTTGAGCTGTTCTTTGAAATCTTCTGTTCATCTCTTTTATCTTGTCAATTCTTCCGTTTGCTTTAGCTATTCTCCATTCAGGAGCAAGTTTCAGAGTCTCTTCTGATATCCATTTTGGTCTTTTCTTCCTTTCTCGTCTTTTTAATGACCTTTTGCTTTCTTTATGGATGATGTTCTTGTTGTCATCCTACAATTTCTCTGGTTTTTGGTCATTGGTGTTCAATACATCAAATCTGTTCCTTGGATGGTCTCTAAATTCAGGACAGATATAATCAAGGTCATATTTTGGTTCTTGTGGACTTCTTTTAATTGTCTTCAACTTAAACTTGGACTTGCATATGAGTGATTGATGGTCTTTTCCACAGTCAGCTCCTGGCCTTATTTTGGCTGAAGATATTGAGCTTCTCCATTGCCTCTTTCCACAGGTGTAATTGACCTGATTCTTATGCATTCCATCTGGTGAAGTCCATGTGTATAGCTGCCATTTGTGTTGTTGAAAAAAGGTAGTTGCAATGAATAAGTCATTGGTCTTGCAAAATTCTGTCATACAATCTCCAGCATTATTTATATCACCAAGGCCATATTTTCCAGCTGTCAGTGATTCTTCTTTGTTTCTAGTTTTTTCATTCCAATAACCAGTAATAATCAACACATCTTGACTGCATGTTTGCAATGTGGTGGTATAACAAATTCCAGCACACCTACCTTGAAAGATAATCTCTTCAAATATTCTCTTTTTATCTCCGGTTCCCACCAATTTTATACCCTTAATGAAAGGCAGCAGGTTCTTTGTCTATGAAGGAGCACTGGGGGCACAGTGTTTAAAGGACACAGTTGCTAACTGAAATGTCAGTGATTAGAACCTACCTACTGCTCTGTGGGTGAAAGGTGTAGTAGTCTGCTTCTGCAAAGATTTACATCCTTGAAAACCCTATGGGGCAGTTTTGCATTGTCCTATAGGGTTGCTATGAGTTGGAATCAATTTGATGGCAACAGGTTTGTTTTGGTATTTGTCTAGCCCTCAAGTGAACAACTGTAATCCAGACTTTTATGGGCATATGCTATGACAATGACTCTTGATTTGGCCGTAACTCTTGACTTGGTGGTTATAACAACTGACATTACAATCTACCTAAATATCTTGTTCACACAAACATTTGTGTTTATGGAAAGGTGTATATGGAAAACAAAAGACCTCTGGTGGCTCAGTGCCTTAAGCATTTGACTGCTAACCAGAGGTTGGCAGTTTAAACTCACCAGCCACTCCATGGAAGGAAGATGGGGCAATCTACTTCTGTAAAGATTTACTGCCTTTGATACCCAATTGGGGTCACCATGAGTCAAAATTAACTTGATGGCCAGTAATTTTTTTTTTTTTCAATATGGAAAATGGAGTAGAAACATTTGTAAACATTTAGTCCTGGGACAACTGCCTCTTTAGTCCACTATGCACAACCCTCTCTATTTGCCACTATGTAAATTCTTTTCTCCTTGTAAATTAAAATAGGTGTTTGTTTAGTTAGACAGTCTCTTTTCTAAACATGATTTTTTTTTTTCACAAAATACTATTATGTTTTAAAACAGTAGTTCCCAACCTGAGAATATGGTACAAAGAGTTTCTTTTAAGAAAGATCAAATACAGGAGTTCCATATGTTTTCTATGTTATTCAAAATACATAGAAAAATTTGGAATGACTATTCTTTTCTACTTTACCCCTCAATATGAGCTTGTATTGTAGCTTTTAGAGAGAGTTTATAAGGGAAGAAAATATTTTATAGAAAAAAATAGTAGACTTTCAAATAAGAAATTTAGCTTAGAACTTCAAATTCTAAGCTTTTATACTTATTTGTTTATTTGCTTGTTTATCATCCCCTCAGCAAGTTATAAATAAAACAAGGATAGCACTGTGATTACTTTACTCATCTATGCATTCCCAACCCTAAATCTTTCACAGAGATAAAAAAAAGAGTAGAGTAAATTTCTGGTATTAGAATGCACAAAGCTAAAGGTCACTAAAGAACTAAATTTGCAATAAATATTAGTAGCCATAAGAAATTCTGTCTGACAAATAATCTCATCTGAATCCTTTCCTTTCCTGACTCTCAAATTTTTCAACTTTTCTAAAAATGGAACTGATAAATCCATGTGACTGGAAAGCCAGATGTGATGAGGACTTACCATAAGCAATAAAATAAATGATGAGTCCAATGGCTACTGCAGCAATCACCACCGTTATGATACTCAGGATAATTTTTCCACACCTTGTTAGTTTCATTTTTGTGTTTGACTCTGTTCTGAGCAAAAAGGACAGGAGATGCAAGTGTTATTATGAAAATTATATAATACTACTCTCTTAGAAATAAATAAGGTTTCACATTAAGTGCAAAAGCAAATTGTTTTAAATAAATTATACATTCAGTGGACTGCTGAGCTTGAAAAACAGAGCATAAAACTAATGAATATAATATTTCAGCTCAGGTGAATAATAATGGTAACAATAAAATACATATTCATGTATTTATTCATCAAATATTTATAAATACCCTACAATATTCTAGGCATCCCTCTATGTGAAACTTATGTTTTACTGAGAGGAGACAGACAATATACAAAAACAATAAGTAGGTTATATAAAAAGTAAAAAGGTATTAAGTTCTGTGAAAAAAAGTTGATCTACTTAAAAAGATTAGAAATGTGAGGTGCATGTGAGGTAATAGTGGTAGAAGGATGCAATATCAAATATAGTAGTAGTTGTTGTTGTTATGTGCCATTGAGTTGGACCCGACTCATAGCGACCCCTCCTTGGGTTTCCAAGGCAGTATCACTACGGAAGTAGATTGCCCCATCTTCCTTCCAAGATAGTAGTTAGGTTAAGGCTATTGAGAAGGTAAAATCTGTGTAGACTTGACACAGGTGAGGGAATTAGCTATACAGATATGTGGAATGTTCCAACTACAGGAAACCATTCAGCAAAGACCCTGTGGTAGTACAACTGGTATGTTATAAGGCTAATATGGCTGGAGTAGTGAAGGAGGGGAAGAGCATAAGAAAGGACATCTGAGATGTACCAAGGCCTAGATCATATAGGGCCTCATAGGTCATGGTATGAATTTTGACTTTTCCTCTTAGTGGAGGCCTTTGAACAGAGGTGTATGATGACCTGACCTAGCATCTTAACAGGATCGCATTACCTGACATGTGGAGAATAATCTGTCAGGGGCAAGGAAGGAAGGAGAATAATACAATGGGTATTATTCATTCTCATTTGTTGTTAGATGCCATAGAGTCACTTCCAACTCATAGCAACTCTGTGTACAACAGAATGAAATGCTGCCCAGTACTGCACAATCCTCACAATTGTTGCTATGTTTGAGCCCATTGTTGCAGCCATTGTGTCCCTACATCTCAGTGAAGGTCTTCCTCTTTTTCACTGACCCTCTACTATACTATTCATGATGTCCTTCTCCAGGGAGTGGTACCTCCTGATAACATCAGAAAGTAAATGAGGCAGAATCTCACCATCCTTTAAGGCACGTTCCGGCTGTACTTCTTCTAACATAGATTACCATGTGTCATTACAAGATGATATTAGCTTATACTAGGGTAATAGATGAAATGAGAAGAAGTTGAAGTTTGGATATATTTTGATTATAGAGTTGATAAGATTTCCTGATTGATTGGATGTGGAATGTGAGATGAAAAGAGTCAAGGATGGTTTCAAGGTTTTAGCTTGAGAAATGTAAGGCTAGAATTGCCATCAATGGAGACAGAGAAGGCTTTTGATGGAGTAGGTTTTGGGGAAATTATTATGAGTTAATTTTTTTTTTTCATTTTATGTTTGAAATGTTCACTAGCTATCCAGTGAAGATGCCAATTGAATAACAAATCTGGTGTTTGGGAGAGAGATCTAGTATTATGATATAAATTTGCCATCATCAACACAGAATAGTCTCTGAGAGTAGATGAGATAAAAAAAATGTAAGTGTAGACAGTGAAAAAGACCAAGATCACTGGGGTATAATATATTATACCATTATAAGAGATTAGGGAAAAGAGGAAGACCTAGTAAAGGAGATTTAGAGGGAACAACCAATGAGGTAGGAGTAAAATCAAGAGGAAGCAGTTGCTTTGAAAGTAATAGGAGTTGGTTTCAAATTTATATTTGAAGGATGACATCAACTGTGTCAAATAAGCAAATGAGCAATGAAAATTGACCATTGGATTTGTCATCATAGACATAATTGATGACATTGATGAGAAAATTTTTTGGAGTACTACAGTTTGTTTATCCATTCAACTGTTGAAATGCTGCATGTAGTATTTAAACATATTTTAGGAATTTAGGTATGGCTTTAGAGAAAGAGTAAGTGAAAAAATTGTGTGTGTGAAAAAAAAAAAAAAAAAAAAACCCAGAGACTTTGGAAAGAGTGAAAATCAGAACAGGAGATGATAGCAAAAGATGATTGAAGACAGTATACAGTAAAAGTTGGATTCATTTATAAGTCCAGAGGCACTGCCAAAGAAGCACTGGAATGTTTGCTACTTTCCATCCTTTAATTATGCCTAAATCAACATAGAGATTTATTCATCATTATTCCCAGACACATGGGTTGTTATTGAAAAACAAAACAAAATAAAACAAACAAACAAACAAAAACTAAACTAAACTCACTGCCATCGAGTCAAATCTGACTTATAGTGACCCTCAGTGGGTTTTCAAGTCTGTAAATCTTTATGGAAGTAGATTGTTCCATCTCTTTTCCATAGAGCTTGAACTACTGATCTTCTGCTTAGCAGCCAAATGCCTTATCCACTACACCAGCAGAGCTCCTTGGGGTTGTTATAGTCATTAAATATTAGGTACAGGTTGGAAATAATAGTTGAACAGAGGATGAGAATAATAATAACAATAACTTGGAAAATATATTGTTATATTATTTTTGAAGTGGGCACAACTTTATTCATCTACATTCATGTTTTCCAATATTGTTAAATAACATTTTCCTGTGGCATACATAGGTGGGGAAGAATTGTTTCTTTAGATGTTAATTAAATGATTAATTGATTCTATTCATATTTATTTAATTATTTTTTTTTTTTATGGGCAAGGTACTGTTTAGGCAAGTGTGATGGTTAAGGTTATTTGTCGACTTGGCTATGAGATGGTTCTCAGTGGCTTGGCAGATTATGTAATCATCCTCCATTTTGTGATCTGATTTGAGCAGCCAATCAATTGAAAGGGATGTTTCCTTGGGGGTGTGGCCTGCTTCCAACATATATGGATATTCTAATAAAGCTCACCTTCTCTTGACCCTACATCATACTCATCATTCTCTGACCTCTGGTTATTGGGATGTGAGCCAGCAGCCTACCATCTGACCTGCAGATTTTCGGATTCACCAGCTCCTGCAGCCCTGTGAACATGTTGCCTGATCTGCTGATTTTGAGTTTGTCAGCCCCTGCAACCACATGAGTCAGTTTGCCTGACTCAATGGATTTGTGACTTTCCAGCCTCCACAACTGCATGAGCAATTTCCTTGAAATAAATTTCTCTGTATGTTTTTATATATATGCTTCATTGTTTTGCTCATCTAGAGAACCCACACTAAGACATATGCTACTGAGAGTCACATTACAGGAACAAAATTGTGAGGATGAATTCTCTGAATTAGTTCTCAAGTCTGTTTAGTTTTAAAGGTACTGATGACTCTGCCTCCAGTAGAAGGGGGCACGCTAATCCATGACATGAAGGGGCAATAGAAATATGCAAAGTATCAACACCACTGGATCAAATATCTGTGAGAGACAAGATTCTGAGTAATTGCATATTTTATACTTTTTACACTTTTTTTTTTCAGAATTAGAAGTATAAGGAAGCTGGTTGGTCGGTCCTACTGACACTAGACAAAGTGGTGAAAGAAAGGGATGAGATCAAAGCTTCAGAGTCACACTGAAGTGTTGCATACAGAACCTGAAAGTTGCAGCTTGTACCCTGAAAGACTTACCTTTTATAGTAACAGAGCTGATATTGGCAAAAAAACTAACCCAGTCTTATTGTAAGAGCAGCTAAATTACAACACTAATTGAATTCTCAACTTTTAATGGTATCTGAAGCTAAAGTGAGGGCATTGATTGGGAAGAAATGGGATACTGAAAGTTGGGATGGGGTATATAGGCAGAAAATAGGAGGCTGGGGACACTGAACCCCTAAATTCCACTGACTCACTCTTGCTGACCACACCACCCCATGCATCTGAAAAGATTACTCCATCTTTATTTGCTAAGCTACTCTCCACAGGAAAAGCACTGTCTCTTTCACACCTGTTGAGATTAACCCAGCTGTGCCTGAAGAGTCTTTGTCTGAGATATCACCTGAGGTGGTGCCTGGGGGGCTACCTAGGTCATCACCTGAGGGAGATGCTTTACAAGACATTACTGAATGTCTCTAGGACCCACCCCACCACTCATTTAAGCTTCTAGACATATTTTAAATAAACCAAACTCACTGCCATTGAGTTGATCCCAACTGGTAGCAACTCCCATTGGGTTTCCAAAGCTGTAAGTCTTTACAGAAGTAGACTGGTGTATATTTCTTCCACAGATCAGTTGGTCAGTTTGAACCACCAGTTCTTTGGTTAGCAGCCAAATGCCTTAACCACTACCCCACCAGAGACTTAAATCCCAGCAAGCACTAAGAGGTGAATTACAATGTGTGACCCAGAAGGAGATATGCTACACTCCAAAAGAATTGCTTAATTTTTCTAATATATATAAACAGAAACCTGGCTAATATGTGTGGGAATGACTATTAAATGTGTGGGATAATGGTGCAAGGAACATAAAGGTGGATGGATCAATCTGAGTTTATTGATTTTGACCCACTTAGCACACATATTCTTCATTCAGTATTTCAGCTGGAAAGGTTAGAAAAGGATCTTATAGTTTATTTGCTTGATCCACTGAAGCATAGATTAAATGGTGGTGAAAGTAGGAAACAAAGAAGAATCATTGGTAGTTGGAAAATATGTCCTTGGTGATAGAAATGAATGCTGGAGACTGCATGATAGAATTTTGTAAGACCAACAACTTATTCATTGCAGACATATTTGTTCAACATAGATGGTTGCTATACACGTGGACCACACCAAAGAGAATATACAGAAATCAGATAGACTGCATCTGTGGAAAGAGGTGATGGCAAAGCTCAATATCATCAGCCAAAACAAGGTCAGGAACTGACTGTGGCACAGACCATCAATTGCTCATAGGCAAGTTCCAGTTGAAGCTGAAGAAA